ATCTTGACTACCCCACGTTTCCAGCAATTCTTCTCCTAGTCTTCCCACCTCTGATTTTGCAAAGGTTACCTAAAGACTTGCTTTCACGAATAATACGTCCTCAAGAGATGAGTTACATGCATGAAAACATGACAGTGATTAGCATGATAACTCTACAGAGTTGCCCTAACTTCAAGAGTTCTGACTTGCAGCGGTGCAGGTAAGGTGGCTGGAGTCCCACATTGGCACATAGGAATCACAAATAGTGTATTCTGTTCTGGAAGAGGTGAGGTAGGCGAGCTGGTGGTGGGGGTAATCCTCTATCAGGAACTAAGACCGCTTTGCTCATCTTTCTCATTTACAATTGTTTTACTCTCTTTGTCATGTCTGTGTTTTTATGGCTCAAGTACCTTTTGACTTACGGGTCTGCGTTCCAGTGGAGTTATCCTGTACGGGTCGGCAAAAGGACATGTGCTGTTTTTTGTAGGTTGAATTCCCTGAGGCACGAATTTATGAGGAAACACTAAATGTCTTACTATATGAAACACCACGGGTTCCTGATAACTCCCTGCTGGAAGCAACAAGCAGGAGCCGAAGCCAGGCGTCTCACAGCGAGGATGATGAAGGTTTTGAACTTCGTGATCGAGTGCGCCGAATCCACGTGAAGAGATACAGCACCTATGATGACCGTCAGCTTGGCCACTAGCGTATCAGTCGAGGAGAAGGGCTTGTATTGATGTTCTCTGAGGGACATCAGGAGGTAGGAAGGGATCAGTTGGACTCTGTGCATTGATCTTCATGTGGCCGCTTGGCTCCCTAGAGAAGCAAATGGGCATTTGTGCGCCCAAAGCAACGCTAAAGGCCGAGGGCTTTGAGAACTAAGATACTAATTTTGCACCACGTGCTTTAAATACAGGCTGGCCCCCTTGTCATGCCACTGAGGAATGGAGTTGGGAACACCGATTCTGCCAGTTTGTGGTTGCTCTTGCATATCTAACGACTCACCAGTTTTCATACTCCCTGTATTGCTCTTCCCGAGTGAGATGGCGTGATTGGAAAGCCTCTTCCCAGATACCTGCCTTTAGGATTTTGTATAATGGAACTTCCAGTTTTTAAATCAAGGTGCTAAAGAGGGGGTGGAGGGAACTTGAACATGACTACTCTCAGCACACACTACATCTGATGACCCCCAGAAGAAATGGTTAGCCATCCAGTAGTCAGGTGCACTGCACATGTGGTTTCTCCCACCTTTCCCTCAGTGCACTTCCAAAGGTTTGTGTTCCAAGATAGCTGTCTTTAAAAGTCATTAATTCTAAGGCAAGCTCTTCCAAAGAGGTAAGAGTCAAGTCATTGAAAAACATCCCCTTGTGAAAAATGAGAAAACTTTGACGATTTATGTTTATATGTAGTGACTTGTCTTGGGAGATGGAGAAATGGGTACGGTGAAGGAAGAAACTTCTTCAAGGAAGAAAACTTCAGGAATAGGCTGTGGGTGGATTGCCATTGTTTAGGCTTCTGGTAGCATATTCCTGTTGGTATCAACAATGGCAATCTGGGGAATTAGTTTTACATTAGTTTCCTCCTGGGGCCCAAAAGTGCTATTTGATGATAAATTTCCTAGGCAGCAGGGTAAAAATTGCGGTGACTGGGGAAGTACAGAGTAAACTACATTTTGTAAGTCTAGATAATGTTCATGTACTGAAGGGTGACTTCAAGTTTTGTGTTCTGAGTCCCTTCGAGAGCATAGAAGTGGAAAGAGAAGGATCATCATAAAAGTCTGGTTCTAGCATGGAACTGCAAGAGTCTTTGGACACAGGAGAAGAGGTAGCTTATACTGAATTTTAAAGTGAAGTGATAGCTTTTATTCTGAGCGCTTGGCTGGGTGGTAATTGTGAAGGGCCTTTCAGAAGGTTGGAGTCAAGGCTGCTCTGCAAGTGGGGTCTCTGGAAACAGTTTTGAGTTCAGTATGAACAGTCCTTACTGTATTTTTAAATGTTTGCTTGCATGGTTCAGCTGTAGGGTGCGGGTTCAAATTTTACCACTGTCATAAACGATAGTTACTTGATGGCTGTTGCCTGGCAGTTATGGCTATGTGACAGCAGCGGAGCACGCTCTGCAGCTGCTTTTATGTTCCCGTATTGTACATGAACAAGGAAGCTTCAGATTCCACGATGGCTGGTCTTGGAACTGCTTTGACCGGTGCCAAATCTACCGATAAGTTCTAAAGCAAATTACTGCAAAAGCCTGACAGGAAAATAATCCCAAATAAATACAGTGAAGTCATAAGTAGAATTAAGATGGTAGAGGGTTTGGTAGTAATAGAAGCAGGGGAGGGAACAAAGACATTATTTCCACTCATTTAGGCTTTTGAAAATGCAGTTGTTGAGGCTTGGTAAGAAAACACTAATGGCTGCAAACTTTCAGGATTTTTCTGCCTAGCCAGACCTCCACATGTGGCAGGCGTTCACGGAATTCCTCTCGCGTTCAGGAAGTAGCATTGCCAGAGTAACGCACCTGCCTTTTTGTGAAAGACCTCTTCAAAACTCTAATAATCTCTTTTCTTTTTATATTGCTTTCTGTAAGTCATTGTTTTCCAGCTGGTTTTTCTGTTGTGCCAGTGAAAATACAGCTGCTGAGATTAGTTTTGACAAAGACCTTTGTGGGGTTTTTTCTTTAATTCTGCTAGAGAGGGATGGGGACGGTTTTTAAGGGTTTTTTCCCTCCACTGACACTATTTAAATTACACTGTGCTGGGTGCTTTGACGCTACCAGCAGAGCCTGTAGTGATAGAGTCTTTGTGCTGGACTTAATAGCTTCAATTTAGTCTCTTGCACTTTTTTTCATCTTGTAACAAATAAGAATGCCATTTAAAATTTATTGGCACTTCTGTTTCTTGGCAAATGATTTATATTCTTTTTTTCTTGTTACCGTCGTAGTGAATGTTAACAGATTAAGTAAGTGATGCTGGTAGCCTTGCAAAATTTGGTTTAAAAGAAGTTATAAGCAGACAAATGATATTTTTGCATTTCTTTTCTCTGGGGAGTAGAGGTATGGGAGGGAGGGCGTGAAAGAGAATTGAGTGTCACGTCTGCGTGCCAGTGCAGAGCCCTTCGCTCTGGGGTTGGATTCTGTACTCCTCGGGTTCGTGTTGTGAATCGTTGCGCTATAAGCAGCAGAGAAAAGTTCGTGTTGGTTTTCTTTTCCCTGTTTCCCATAGCCAACAAGTAGTATTAATTTCTCATTTGAATTTAGATTAAATTAATCTTGGAAGCAATCTGTTTTGGGAACCATCTGGGTTGTGAGAATCTCTGTATTTGTGGAGTATCAGTAAGGACTGTAAGCAGTTATCAGTGTTTAAATGTGTACAGATACCAGTTTCATTTCCCCCTCTTCTCTCATCCCAATTCATTCTCCCTTCTTTAGCCCCGGTTAGTACTGATCACAAAACATCTGCTTTTAGATTAAGATACGACTAGAACTGGAACAATGCTTGGCCACTGTGGACAGAAGACTCTGTCTGTAAGCTTCACTCAGAGTGAAAATCTCATTGCAAAGTTCTGTCTAGTCAAAAGATGTTTCAGAACCATGGTCTTGGTGTTCTTTGTCCTGATAAGATTTTCAGGATGTGGCTGAGATCCCAGGTAAATAACTGCTGGTCAAACCTGACCACAGGTAGTTCTGTAGTTCCCTCTGCTTGTATGGACTGGTGGGAATGGGAGAACATCAGAAGTCCCCTGCATGGGCGCGTTCTGGGGAGGGTGCTACGTGGACGTGCACGAGGCTAAAGTGGTGGTCGTGGTAGAGATCCCTTCCCTGTGTGGGGCTGCTGTACTCGGGCTTCTGATGAAATCTGGAACGCCCTGCGTTATTTCTACCTGAGTGCTTACGTAGTTGGATCATTTCCATGAAGTGTCAGTAAGTCTCAGTGTGGACATGGATGCAGCCATCACCTACACAGTTCATGGGTTGAACGTCTTTCTAGTACAAGCGATAGAACACAGTATTTTCTCTTAAGAGTCCTGCTTATCTGGAACTGCTCCGGTTCAGGATGGTGATTGTCCTTTCCACCAACATCACGGCATGTTGATTTATACGGTCTTGGTACCACCAGGTTCTGATAATTTTGAATATTGTAGTTTTGATGTAACACATGCTTTGTATTCTCATTGTAATCATCCCTTAATTAAAGGCTATAAATTGTTTTGACAAGAACATTCTAGACATTGTAGAACACATTTTGACAGCCTGGTATAAAGGAAAAAAAGCAGTGCTGAAGAGGATAATGCAGTTTTAAACTGCAGCGTTCGCTGTGGTGAGCTGTCCACTTCTAGAGAGTGCACAGCTGTGCCTCCTGAGAGTCTTCTCTGCTGGCTTTACGTATCGCCAATTATGATCCCTATTAAGACAATATAGATTTCTAATTACATGCATTTGTCTGTGGGTCAAGAGACTCGTAATGACTCCCCGCACAAACCGTCACCAATGGATGTGTTTACTGAGGTGCCTGTGAATTTACCGTAGCCTTTAGGAGGAAGAAATGCCTTTTTGCTTCATCCGTAACGATGAGTTCTAACTACATCAGCTAGCCTTCCTTAGCTGCTGGAGCCTTTTTGAGACCTTACTGTCCTCTTTACGTGAACTTTTGTGCATTCAAATACTGTATTAGCAGACTGAGAGAATGAATGGAAAACATTGTGACATCCATACCCAAGTACTGTAATAAAGGGTTGCGTGTTTCTTTAACGGGGTCCTAACACATTGCAAACCAACCTCAGCCTTTCGACAGAGGAGACTTGTGCCTTGAGTGAATGTCTTGTTAAACAGCTTTTCAGTATCAGTGTTAATTAGGCAGTAATGTCAAAAGAGAGAGTTCCTCAGGGCAGCAGCCTCTAACTGCTTGATAAATGCTGAGACAAAACTAAATGTTTAACCTTCACCTTGGCATTTAGTTTTTGGAACAGGAGACATTTATCCTATCAGAATGTTCCATTCCGATGACTTTTTATCTCTTGCATTTCTTGGTTAAAATATAAAATAGCTGACCGAGACTGGGAGGGCATTGGAGGGACCGATGCTGTGGAGTTATTGAAAAGCTGCATTCTGCTTGGAACAGGCAATGCTTATTGTGGTTTTCATTACTTTTTTTCTTGAGGTTTTTTAATTTTTCAGACACAATTCACTCTAGGAAATGCTGATGAAGTATACCTTAACTGAATGTGTCTGGCCCAGCAGTCCCTGTCTTACACAATGAGATTATACCCTCTGACAGTCCTTGGCATTAAATCTTTACAGCCGAATTTCACACCATCCGTTGTGCTGGGAGAACTGTGGTTTTATTAAGAGATGAGTGGGCATGAGTCCTGTTTCCAGCTCTGCCACTAACTCAGTGACATACAGCAAGTTAGTTGTTCTGTATGTGCGTATTTTTTCCTCATCTGTAATAAAATGGTGGTAAGACCCTCCCCTACCTCAGAGGGATGTTGAAGCTTAATTTGTTCAATAATAGTGAAGGACTTTGGATTTCTGTAATATTTTATATCCAGAGGATAGCAAATAGGATTGCTGATCTTGTTTAAACTGACGTTCTGTGATCAAGCTGTTTTCTTATAGCATCAGCCTTTATTTTTATGTCTAACTTTCAAGGGTCAGCCTTATGGATAAAATACTTAGTTAATGCAGTAACCGTATTAGCTATTGATTAAAGTGTTTTCTCTTTTATCAGTGCATTAAATGGAAATGGAACACTAATTTTTAATAAAGTGTTATATTTTGTCTTCTGTGATTTTTCTCCAGCATCGTAACTTTTTATTCATCATGTTGGTCTCTGCACTTCTGTTCTGCATTGTAGTTGTGATCCTCACCAAGTATTTAGGATTCCTGAACCACAGAAATACTGTATCAGCAAATGGCTTTTGTATTAGATGGAGCTGAGCT